TTTTTTTTTTTTTTTTTTTTTTTTTTTAATAAACGCCCCCATCAGTGTTAGTGATGCTGGTAAGAGCAGACACCTTCTGCCAAATTTAAGAGTCGTAGTTAATTAAACTTAATTTGAATTCACTCGCTTTTGGTTTCGCGGCTAGTAAGTGTGAAGCTATAGGGCCTTGCCGCACCACTCTCGAAATGTGAAAAAGACAAAATTGTGGCGGGTGCATCTGGCCATGTTGGAGTGGGAAGTTCATTCTCATTTTGCGCATTTTCGAGAGTAGAGTGGTGTGGCGATGCCCTTAGAGGCTGCGGCGATCAACTGAATGACCAAATTTGGAAAGGAATGCAGTCCCGCAGTGCGATTCATGCGGATCTGCGAGATCTGCTGCCTCGGTTCCTCCTTGTCTAAAATAAACTTGTTAGTTTTAAAAAAAAACTTGAAAAAAAAAATCACTCCCTCACCGAAGAGTCCGCGAAGACCTGTCGAGGACTATGTCCAAGAAGATGTATTTGTGAGCCAGCCCAGGAATATAGGGGAATGGACTGGTGCTTGTGGTCAGTGCAGCCTCTAGCAGGGTGGCTGATATCAGAAAGTAATCAATCCTAGATGCTGAAATTTGTAGACTATTTTTTTTCCTTCTGTTTATAGTACGTGAACCTTCCCTTACCTGTTGTTTTGTAGAGGCTTTTGATATTTAATAATATTCAATGATTATTCATACATGATCAAATCAATAAGGTTTTGCATTCTCGTCGTCCGGCAATTTACATCCGGTTATTTGTAGCTGTATTTAGGACAACTTCCAGTCCACATACAGTGATAAGGACCACGTGTTCTCTTCAGGTGAAAACAATAGCTTGAAATGCGAGCGTGAGGGACGTCCCGCATTTGGCCCACAGGGAATGTAATAAACCACACAGCTTTCTGTCTGTAGAGAAGATTAGTAGGGTCCTGTGCGTGAGGATGACAAACATAAATCGATATTATGGGGTCCAAAGACTCAGGTTTCCCCGTATGCCTATAGGTAGGAGTAGTGGTAGGTAGGTAGTGTGAGGAAAATTGAGAGAAGAGTATAGTTTTTTTATTTAAAAAAACTATAAAAAAAAAAAAAAAAAACTCCATAGGAAAAATAAGAAGAAAAAAAGATTTTGTTGAGTAGATTCAATTTGAGTGCTTGCTGAGATTTTGAGCTTTGCTTAGGTTAGAAACTTTCTGAGTCGTTTTCTGAATTTTGCCTGTTTCTGAATTGCGTCGTAGTAATTCTTGAAGTAGTTCAAATTTTTCTTAGCCAAAGCTGGGTAATGGCCCCGGTATTTCAAACTTTCAAAATTAGATGTAAATTTTTGTATGGGACGCTGGGCCCGGTTCCCAGCACGTGCTGCTCCCCACAAATAGATTGGAGCCTTGTTCCCATCAACAAAAAACAAAAACAAAACAAAACAAAACAAAAAAACTTTAGACTGACGTTTTTTTTTTTTTGTTTTTTTTTTTGTTAGACTGACGTTCGTCGGTACATCCGCTAAAATTGGAATGATACAGAGAAGATTAGCATTCCCCCTACAGAAGGATAGTCGAGAGAAAAATTGTCCAATGATGTGTAGAGTTTTCTGCCTGGTGTGGGTGAGTGATAGTCTGCTTTGATTTTTGTCACAGGTACCTTGAGTGTGCAGTGGGACTCTATTGACCCCGGTCTATAGCCGGGGCTATTTGGCTTTGTGCCTGTTCGGCCTGTGGGACCACGCCTTTGGCCTGATCGCACAGGCTGTGTGTTCATTCAGTTCGGTACCACTGTCGATACCAGTCCATTCAGTCTGCTGGGGGTACACCCGAGTTGCAGTCGGTATTGTCCCCATTCTACATTGTACATGTTTTGGAGTACGGTGTAGTGTGTGAGTCACTCGGTGATGATGTTGTGCACTTCGCCAATCTTCATCTCCACCTTCTTCCTTTATCTCGGAGGTGATGTGTTCCAATTACATAAAAAAAAAAAAAAAAAAAAAAAAGTATCAGAGCAGGCTTTTGCAATCAGACTCGCTTTCTTTTCCACTTCGCATACGTGCATACAGATGGCGATTCACACTGGCGCAGTGCGCCCACTCAAAGCTCGGAGATATGGAAACGAGAACACAGTTCAGATGCAAGATCACCTTGACAAACTATGGCGCTGCGGCGCCTGCCCACTCAACTCCCGTCACTGTGTCCAACACCACCCCTTGCACATACACAACTCTGGATCACCCTGAATACCACCACACACTCAACTAAACCTATCTTCTTCCTATCGCGGCGATGGCCGCTCTACCCCTACTGGCTATGGCTACGATTTCGCTCTTCAGCCCACTTCGACTTCGGGCAACCTGCAGACCACCTTCGCACAAGACGCTGTAGCAGCGCTTCCGCATGGCTTACGCAGCGAATGAATGAATGAATGGCTGGGCGCTGCCTCTTGATTTATACTTCTGTAACTCGTTGGTCTGCCCCCTTTCCACCGGGCCCATGGTGCACACAGTCCGTCATGGTACTTGCTTGACTGGACTGCGACCGACTGGGACCGGTACCGCTGACCGCACGGCGTTGCACTGCCAACTCGACGCAGTCGCACTGCCGACTCAGCTCAGTTGGGCTTACCACTTGCCCACTTGCCTCTGGGTAAACATGAGACACTTTGGAAAGGCCACTTCCGGACCTTCCGGAAGTCTGTGGACTTGGCCTTTCGAGTACTGTAGCAGCTAGGACCTCTACCTTTCAGGACTGTAGCAGCTTCGACCTTGACCTTTCAGAACTCCAACAGCTACGACCTCTGCAGAGCTGTGACCCCTACTCGACAGACCTACAGATCGAACCCCTACAACTGCACAGACCTACGACAGACAGCAACTAACTACCAAAACACAGGTCACGGGTTCAAACACTCAGAGGTCGACTTGATACTGTACATGGGTAAGGTGAAAGGTCTGGGGATCGAACTCTAGGGCCCGCATCTGTGACTGCAAAAAGGTGAAAACCGTTTCACTTTTTCTCGCTGCTCAACCCCTCACCCACCCCGATCATCATTCTGAGACTGCTCGCTGGAGGAAGCACCCGCATTTGTTCACGTGGCTTGAGCAAAATGCTCGCCACTTTACTTTGGTAATGACACCGGTGGTCTGGTGCACATTTTTTATCGTAACTTCTGCATCCGGTCCCACCTCAAGTCGATAGAACTCCAGTGAAACTAGTTGTCATAGCCCCTCCTTTGTTGTCCTCTTCTCCCTCTACCGGAGGTTTAATAAGCTGATCTGTTTCATCATACATACATATATACATACATACATATATACATATGTACATATATACATATAAAAGGAAATTTAGACTGAGGTTTTGAAGATTTCTTTGAGATGTGATAACCCGTCCAAACAAGGACTGAAACACACAGCTGATTTCTGAGTTTTGCTCATAGACTGAATGCCCTACTGAGTTCCCCGCCTGCTAAGTCTCTGTGTGTGTGTGCTTGCTGGACTGCATGTCTGTCTGAGTGCTGGTTGGCTTGCGTGTGTGTGACTGTGCCTGTCTGAGTGCTGGTTGGTATGAGTGTGTGTGTGTGGCCCGCCAGGGCACTTGTTCATTCGTTGGGCCCTCAGGGCCGGTACTTACCTGTGGCCGTGGCTTCGAAGGGTTGCAGCGGGGAAAAAGCACTCAAGTAGTGGGTAGGCCGGTACCGCACCCGGCAGGGGGATAAATATGCAGGTACCGGAGGCCGAGCAGAAGAAGACAAAAGTGGCATTTTTAGAGGCCGGTAGTGTAGGCTAGGTCTAGTGGGTACCAGTCTAAGTCTAGGGCCTGTAGGGGCAATATCAGAGTCTGCAATGATGTTTCCCTCCAAAAAAGGAGGAGGTACCGGTTGCTTGGGAAGGCCAGCGGCCTGGAAGTCACCGCCCAAGAGGCAAAGCAGGCCGCTATATCTTCAGGCCGGGAGGAAGACCCGGCCTCTTTTTCGGTGTGCAAGTTTGGCGACACACTGGTGGAGCGCTGGCTGGAGCAGCGCTAAGCTGGAGCAGCGCTGCTGGGGAGGAAGGAGAAGGACTTGACGGAGGAAGGAGGAAGGAGGAAGGAAGGGGGAGGAGCGCCAGGGGTACTTACCTGGCTATGGTGGCAGCCATCTTCATCACCTTGGTGGGCGCTGCAGCAAGGAGTCCCCAGCCGGGGAGAGCCACACCAAGAAGCTTCAAGGCAGGGCTGGGCATGGCGGCCTGAGCTGGAGCAGCCATAGCTGCTTTGGGTTGTCCTTTGGATATCTGAGCAAGGCCTAGTAGTCCACCATAGCCTCGGCCTATGAGAGTGAAGAGTGGGAGAGGCGGCCATGGCTATGGTGGACCTTGAGTGATACCTGCAGTAGAAGAGGGACTCGGACATTGATTCTGGACCAGTCATTCAACATTGTATTATTATTTCTTGTATGAATAAGAGGAGGGGGAGATAAGGAGGAGGAGATTGTTGGGCGAAGAAGAAGAGCCTTGTCATTGTCTTTGCTGGTGTACATCTTCTTCTTCGTCTTCTTTCTTACTTCTTCTTCTTCTTCTAATCCTCTCTCTCTCCTCTCAAGTTCATTCATTTCTTTCTGCAATTGGATGGCATTGTACCTTTTTTTTTTTTTTTTTTTTTTTTTTTTTTTTAAGGGCCCAGTGCCCAAGGCTGGCATTGTACCTTCTGATGGATGTGTATCTCGAAATTGGCCAGGGTCATAACAGAGATAGGTTTGCGGCCATTTGCCTTTCATGAATCTAGGTGTATTCCCATAAGTTTTGGAGAGCATATTTGATGATATTCTTTATTAAATTGATCGGGGAATAACCCTGCAACTTGATATGCTAAAATTCAGCTAAATATTTGGTTCATGTGAATTAAGAGGTGGTCTGTTTTATCCGGTCGGGGCTCCAACAACAGATTAATCTTTAAGTCGAGAAGGACAGTTAGTGCCATCTAGTAATAGTCTTTCCGGAGACTGGCCTCAAACAATGACCCTATGTCGCGACTAAGTAAGTTTATAGTTGTTCGTTTGGTGGAACCGCTAGCAGAAGAATGGGATGGGAAGGATTTGAACTTGCAAACAATGACCCTATGTTGCTACTAAGTAAGTTTATAGTTGTTCGTTTGGTGGAACCGCTAGCAGAAGAATGGGATGGGAAGGATTCGAACTTGCAAAGTGATCATGATGTAGGGCTTGAATTTGTAGGATGTTAAACCACCAGTACTTGGCCCATATATCGGCCGCAGGCCTTAGCGTTAATGCTACGCGAAGTTGGCGCTTCAGGCAACCGGACCTGGAAGGCTGGCGCGGCCAGCCTTTCCGAAAACCAAAATCGAATCGGGAAACGGCGCGCAGGGCACTTCCAGGCTCGGCTGCGATAGCTGGGCCAAGTACTGGTGGCTTAAGTGGGAGCAGCCGCGATTTGAAAATGTGAACTCCATTCCATTTGTTAGCCTTGTATTTTTTCCTTTGTTTACGCGATGTGGGACTGCGACTTGGCACTATTTAGGATGCGATATGTGGACCTCTGATTTTGACGGAAGAAGCGAACATGGGGTCGAGTATATGAACTTGGGAAGCTCCTTTCGTCCGCAGGGACGTTGACGTGACTTGGACGCTACGGTAGTGGATGGTGCAGAGCAATCGAAGGTTTGACTCGCTATGCCGGAAGCTATGGTGATCGTGCCAGTCGCTATCTCCTCCTTGACCATCCTGTGGACTTCACCGACAAACTGTTAACTATACCGTTAACGTGTTTGTTTGTTTGTTTTTTTTTTTTTGTTTTTTTTTTTTGTTAACATGTTTCATGGTTGCGAAGAAGATGTTGTGTACATTTCACAAATTTTCTCCATGTGTATTGAGTGCATGCAGTTGACTGCTTTGCTCCGCGTTGCGGTTCTTGCGATTTGCTTTCCTGCATGCATGACGGAAAAATGAAATAAAATTATAAAAGCACAACTAAACACTAATTACTTAGTGTGTTCGACTGTGGTGGCCACATTTCTTTTTTTTTCCAAAGAGAGATGTCGGGCCTGGTTCCCGGCTTAAAAAAAAAAAAAAAGAAAAAAAAAAGAAGGTAAAAGAAAAAATGAATTGTGTTGGCCACATTTCTTTTTTTTTTTTCCAAAGAGAAACTTTTGTATTATACCAGTCGGGAACACGTCCGCCGTCGCCAACAAATATCGTATGGTCCCTCCAGTAGACAAGGCATCGCCATCGCCGGTCGGTCGAGCACATTAGAGAAAGTCGACTATATTTGCCTCCTGTGGATTGACTCTTTGATTTCACTCATATAATTGAAAATAATAATTCTATGAAATTTAATTTTGTTTTAGTTACATGATTTACAATTTTACATCACTTTATCTCATTGAATTCTTTCATTCTTTCATTTTATTTTCTAGGCTACCAGAGTGGCTCGGGACCTCGGGTCCACTTGCCCGGCCGGGCCAAAAAGAATTTAACAAAAAGAATATATTTTTTAATTTAATTGTTTATTTTAAATTTGGTAAAGAATTTCGATGTGACCCTGAGGCAAAAGTTGTTCAGTTTATTTTTCTGCATAACATAGTTTTTTTCCGGATTTGTTTTATGTTATTTTTTTTGGCTGGGACCTTCCGAGATCCTTGCATGGCCGGGCCGCCCGGGATAATAGGGTGACCCGGGCGGCCCAGGCGGCCCGGCTGGTAGCCTAGTTTATTTTTTATTTTTTATTTTATTTTTTATTTTTTCTAAATTTCCTTATTACTTCAGTTATTATTACCTCATGTCATTCACTTCTTCTTTCATTTTATTTTTCGTTATTTTATTCTTTGAATTGCATTCCTTAACGCATTTTCCTTCTTATTTGGTCTTTTGAATCCTTTCATTACAGCTCATTCATTGAATCTTGTCCGTTTGTTGTGGCATTTATGTTTCATTTTGGTTACCTGTGTGTTGATTTCAAATATCGTATTGACAATTGGAATTCAATTTTATTAATTTCAATAATTTGATTATCAGGACAAGGCAGAGAGATTGGCAAACGAAGTGGCCCACCTGCATGCGGTACGTCCCTTTCTACTTTCATCCGTTTTCCGGAACTTATTCCAACATTCACTGTTCACTGCACTTACGGATAATTCCAGGAATTTCGGCAAGAAAAGTAACTTTGGAACCCTGTGTTCCCCTCTCCGCCCCCCCCCCTTCCCCACCCCAAACAAAGGGTCTTTCATTTCAATTTGATTATCACATTAAATCAACTTTCTTTGTTTTTAATGAAAAAAAAAACAATATTGCACATGAAGTGAGGAGAGCGGAATGAAAAATTTTACATAGCCTGACAAAACACCTGAAAAAAAGAAGAAAAGAAAAAAAAAAGACATTTACGATTACCTCCCCGATTTCCTTGACACTTTGCTGTACTAATGTGTACGTTTGCTGAAATGCCTCCCAGAAAAACAAAGCAGCTGTTAGCAAGGAGTCCTTTTTTTTCGTTTTTTTTCGTTTTTTTTCGTTTTCTTTCGTTTTTTTTCCCTGCCCTAACCCCTCCAGGAATTTATAGGTAAGGGGGGGGGGGGAACTCCTACAAGTAGAGGCATTGTCGCAAAGTCTTAAGTTTTTTTAAACCACCATTACCCTCTTTCAGGGGGGCATTTACGCAAATTTGAGCAAATTCTGACCTGATAGCAAATGTTGCAGGTGTGCAGCCATTAGAGCAAACAAGGCTAGAAGCCTAGTAGTACCTTGATTTCATGAGGCAATCTTTTTTTTAGCAGATGCTGGCCACATTCAAGCAAATACCCCTGAAAAAAAAAAGGGAAAAAAAATAGGATGCGAGGGGGAGGGACCATGGGGAGGAGGGGAATGCAATGAACCTGGTCTTGAAAACCTCACAATCAATCAACCAATAAAATTAAGCTCAATCTCAAAAAGGTGAAAACAACATAATGAAATGAAGCAGCAATCACACACAAGGAGAACAAAGGACAACACAACAATAGCAATGAAAAAAACTTCTTTTATTTTTATTTTTTATTTTTTTTTAAACAAAAAACCCCTTCCAGTGATAGTGGTGCTGGTAAGAGCAGACACCACTAGCACCTGAGGAGGGGCTCCATCTATTGGTGGGGAGCAGCACCTGCTGGAAAACGGGTCCAGCGTCCCATACACAGAAAAACTTTGAAGCATCTCGGGAAAAGGTAGCGGGAAACTCCTGCCAGCATTGACTACTCTGGAATCCAGAGGATTGACTGAGCAGGAGTTTTGGAAAAGGAAGGAGCGGCAGATCAAACTTTAAAAAAGGGAAAGGGGAAAAAAAAAAAAAAAAACAATGACAATCCTCTTTTTGGTTGCCATCAGAAGCTGCTTGGAAGTGTGTCCAAGTTATTTTCTTTCACATTTCCAAACGAAAGAAAAACACCGTACAGGTATGCCATTTATCTGAGTTAAAAAAAAAAAAGCGCATGCTTCGAAACAAAAAACAAGGAATGAACAAGAAAAAAATACAAAAAGTGTTCATCCATCACCACCAGCAGAATAGTAAAAAATTACTAAAAATAGACCAAAGTGTATCTAGTATCTACCCAGTGCAGCCATCTACATCCACCAACTTGGGAGTGAGACGCGAGTCCACACGCCCCAGTACAGCGTGTTGCAGCCGGCTAGGAACTCCGCAGGCTTGAGAGAACGATGCCTTGAAACTTGAAACATGCAAGAGCACACTGAGTAACCCAAAAGGAGAGAGAGAGAGAGAGAGAGAGAGAGAGAGAGAGAGAGAGAGAGAGAGAGAGAGAGAGAGAGAGAGAGAGAGAGAGAGAG